GGGGTTCCGTGGGTCCCACCCCATGGGGTTCTGTGGGTCCCGTGGGGGTTCCGTGGGGGGGACCCCATGGGGTTCTGTGGGTCCCACCCGTGGGTCCCACCCCATGGGGTTGGGGGGGTCCCATGGGGGTTCCGTGGGTCCCACCCCATGGGACCCACCCCATGGGGGCTCTGTGGGTCCCACCCGTGGGTCCCACACCCCGGGGGGGATCCGTGGGTCCCACCCGTGGGTCCCACGCCACTTCCTGCAGGAAGCTCCTGCGACGCCCGGGAACGCCTTTTTCCTACCCAAAAATACCCGAACCCCCCCAAAAAACACACGAAACCACCCCAAACCCCCGACCCCGCCCCGGGAACGCCTTTTTCCGCCCCAAAAACACCCAAACCCCCCCAAAATCACCCGAATCCACCCCAAACCCTGAGCCCGCCCCGGGAACGCCTTTTTCCGCCCCCAAAACACCCAAACCCCCCCCAAAATCACCCGAGAACGCCTCTTTCCGGCCAGACCCGCCCCAAAAATACCCGAAACTAACCCAAATCCCCGGGAACGCCCTTTTCCGCCCCAAACCCACCCGAATCCACCCCAAAATCGCCGGCCCCGCCCCCCCCGGTCCCCCCCCCCCATTTCCTGGACCGTTTCTCCGGCGCGGAAACAGGTACGGGGGGGGGGGTGGGCGGGGGTCTCCTGGGCCCTCCCCGACCCCCCCCAAACGCCCCCCGAGTTCCCCTTCGCCCCCCGGGGTCGCCCCCCGGGTTCCCACGCGTGTCCCCCACCCCAAATGGGGTTTTTTGGGGGGGTCCGCCCTGGTGCCCCCCCGCCTCGAACGGCACCGGAGCCGCTCGGGGCGCGGCGCCGCCCCCTCCCCACCCGTGACCCCTCCCCAAAGCAGAGGGGGGTGCGGAGAAACCCCCCCCCGACCCCTGGGACCCCCCCCCAAATCTGAGACCACCTCCCCAAACTGTGACAGGACGAACCCCCCCCGCGAGCACGATGGACCCCGAGGAGGGATTTAATGGGGTGAGCGGTGCCCCCCACCCTGGGGGTCCGGAGACCCCCCCCCGAAATCCCGCGGGCGAGGGGGGTCCCGGGGGGCGCAGGGCCTCGCGGACCCCCGGTTCTGGGGGGCTCAGGGGTCT